GGCAGATGTTATTATTAGAAGTTATGGGGAGGGGAAGTGAAAGAATTGTTGATAAACAGATATAAAGTTTCAAAGTCAGGTGATGGGAATTAAATCTGCACCCTCCAGCTAGAGCAGCTGCAGTGCAACTTCCAGTGAGCGGCTTCAGCCAAGAGCCAAGCCTGGGAGGCAGCACCCCTTGGGACAGGCGCAGATCACCCCCCTCCCCCCCCCCCCCCGCGCCACCCTCTCCACCCCCCAACCTCTCCTGCCACTGCCTAGGCTCTCAACTCCACCGCGGTTTCACCATGGCAGATTGATGTATATGGACCAGTCCACAGCCACTCCCATATCCCTCCTTTGTATGTTGACCTTGGCAAAGCTGCCAGAGGTATTTTCAACAGTGGATTTGGGTTGGGGTTGGTAAAGCTGGTTGTGAAAACAAAGTCACGCAGTGGTGTGGAATTTTCAACAACTGGTTCATCTAATTACAGATGCTGACAAAGTTACTGGGTCCTTGGCGACCAAATACAAATGATGTATGGTCAGACTTTCACAGACAAATGGAACACTCTGGGAGCAGAGGCTGCAACTGAAGGCCAGATTTGCCAAGGGTTGAGACGGGTGTTTGATATGACCTTTTCAATGAACACAGAAAGAAAATCGGTAAAATCAAGTCTGCTTACAAGAGAGGAAGTGAAAATCTTGACTGTGACGTTGTGTTTTATTTTGCTGTACCTGCAATTCACATTCAGCAATCTTTGGTTAGAGGGCTGGCTTGCTGGGTACGAGTTAAACTTTGATGGTGCCACGTCAAAGGTGATAGACAAGGCGTAACTTTGCGTTGGGCTATAATTCAGTTACACACTAATGTCAGCCATGGGACAGAATTTGGAGAATCAGTTTATCAGAAAGTATGTAAAGATTTTGACACGCTGGAAAACTTCGCTTGGACATCAGGTCCCCAACTGCACTCTTTTCCGGGATGCCTCGTCCTGCTACTGTTGCTGGGAAGGTCAGCAACCCTAGTTTAATTGGAGCGGGCTATACTCAGACCCTCACGCCTAGAGTGAAACTTACACTCTCTGCTCTGGCAGACAGGACACGCTTTAATACTGGACGTTACAAACGTGGGCTTGCCTTGGAATTGGAGGCTTCATTCGGTTGAAAGAAATTTCTGGGAACAGTTATCTTTGGCCTTAATATATTTCCATGTATCCATCAGGCCCTCCCCTCTCCCCAAGAAGGTGATCACATCAGAGGCTGATTAAACAAGAACTGTGTTTTAAATAGTTATTTGTTGGCTGGCTTCTAGTTGGCTGGTTATCTAGTTATCCGTGTTGCCATCATGCAGCCACATCTACATTATTTAAATGTATTTAACTCTCTTTATTTTTAGACAACCCACATGACATGTTTTTTCTTACAAAAACAATGCCTCCACTCCAAATAAATCACGGTCAAAATAAAAGCTCAAGATGACATTAATCCCATTTGTCTTAAGTCCTGGTGTTGAGTGGATGGTAAGTAGCAGCCAGTTATGGTGACAGGTGATAGGTCTAATTTATTAACATTTTTCCATCTCTAAACCATCCTTAAAGAAAATCATGAATGGAGTCACACCACCTTCACGGTAGTCCAGGAGAGCAACCATACCATCTGGATTCATGTTTTCACCAATAAAAAACTGGTAGTTATTGACGTTAGCAAGGGTGTGCTTAAATTGCTCTGCAGCCCCAGCCATAAAAGGCTTTACTCTTTCTGGTTTCTGTTCTTCAAGTTTGCCTGTGAGTGATTTCACGTAATCTTTGATGTCCTTTTTGTAGGCCTCTTTTGTGAAGCTGGTTTCTTGTAAGTGACCAATATCAACCAATATCATGCCAATATCAACACCGGTGACTACTGTGCTTTCGGTACCTTCAGCGGAAGCATTTCCACCCATGAGCTAATCATCGATGTTATCCTCTGTCCTACTGACCATCTTGCCCTCCACCTGCAGGCACAGCCCGTCCAAAATCTCCCGGCTCTTGTAGATGTAGGAGAACAGCTTGTCATGGCTGATGAGTCCCGGTAGATGATCATGGTGGCGGCTGGGGACGGTGGCGCGAGCCTGACAGTGTGGAGCTAGCGCTGTGCAGCCGGAGCGGTGCTCGGGAGGAGGGAGGCGGGCGGAAAAGCTGTATTTAAAAAACTCTTAAATGTGCTACTCACCAATAATGAAATAGACGTTGATGAAAAGGAAACAAGAAAAATCTGTATGTATAATATACATGATACACACATATCATTTATCTATACATATAGAGAGAGGGAAAGGGAGGGGGAGAGAGATGGCTTAAATACTTGTGGCAACACATATCTTACATTCTCTGTATCATTTTTTTTGTATATTAGTATAAGTATGACTTACTTTTATCACCTAATAAATATTTGGAAAAACTAAAAATATTCCAGTTATTTTCTTCTCTTCACTTCTCAATTCTTAGTAGAATTAGCCAGACACTTTCTAATGGTTTTTGTAAAGATGGTAGAAATATGACTAACACAGTTCATAAGGAGAAAGGGAGATGAGAAGAAGGGGCTGATGGCAGGAGCTTAGTGTGTCCACAGGGGCCTCCTGGTGGTGCCCCAGCACTTAGTGAGCCCGCAGTAGGCTCCTGACAATGCCTTAGAACTCAGTGTGCCCACAGAGCCTCAGCACTTAGTGCCCCCACAGTGGCTTCATGGTGATGCTCCAGAACTTAATATCCCAGCTGTAGCCCTCTCCCTCATCCCCTCTCAGTTCCACCGCCCCTCCCTCCTTCATCTCCTCCCATGCCCCTCTCCAAGTCCACTGATGGGGAAGAACCTACCCTTCCATCTGACTCTAGCCTATCAGGTCTCATCAGGAGTGGCTGCATTGTTTTCCTCTGTGGCCTGGTAAGGCTTCTCCCCACTTAAGGGGAAGTGGTCAAAGAGCAGGCCAATCAGTTCCTGTCAGAGACAGTCCCTGTTCCCACCACTAGGAAACCCACTTGGATACTGAACTGCCATGGGCTACATCTGTGCAGGGCTTCTAGGTCATCTCCATGCATGGTCCTTGATTGGAGTATCAGTCTCAGAAAAGACCCCTGTGGCCAGATTTTATGGTTCTGCTGCTCTCCTTGTGGAATTCCTATCCTCTCCAGGTCTTACTATCTCCCCCTTCTTTCATAAGATAGCAGTATCCTTTAGTAGCACCCTTTATCAATATCCTTTAGCAGCAACTTTTAGAAGCATCCTTTGACATCATCCTTAAACAGCTTTCTTTAGCAGCACCCTTTATCAGTATCCCTTAGAAGCATCCTTTAGCAACATCTCCTTGAAGCTTTATTTAGCACCATCCATTTGCAGTATCCTTTAGCAATGTCTTTTAGAACATCCTTAAACAACATCCTTTTTATTTGACAGAATGTGAGGTTCAACTTGCAGTTCTTACAAAAAAAAATGTCATTGAATTACACCTAGAAACAGTAGTTACACATTTTAAGGGACGATGTAAAATATCTATGAAGAGTCTTCATTCCATTTGCTTCATAAACAAGAAAAATCCAAGTTCTAGAAAATGTCATTGTATTAAGCGTATGTTTCATGGAAGAAAAACACTATACCAGGCTAAATGAGGGAGTATAAAAGCTGTTACAAAGTAATAGGGTACGCCAACAAGAAATATTTAAATTATTTTTCCTAACAAAAATGAACATTTTTACTTTGTATGTCATTCTGAAGCTTAGAGTGGCCCTCCCCTGTCCCCTTTCTCTGACTACCCACACTCACACTTCATGACTCACTTGAGAGTTTTGCTCCCCTCCTCCCAGCTCACTGTTTTTAGGAGCCCACATACGGACTTCAGGCTGTGTGCCTCTCACCTCTGTCCTCAGGGAGTCTTCAGTTTCTCTGATGATAATTGGCTACTGCATCCCTCTCTCAAAAATCTGTTCTATTCCCCTGTCCCATAAGAATGTCAGAACTTCTGTGCATTCTTGCTTCTACTTCCTTGACATTCTATCGCTAGGTTCTAGCCAGGGAGGATCAATGCATGGTTAGAAAGAACCAAGGAGCTGCAAGAATGAGTGCGTGGATGTATGAATTGCCTCTATGACCTAGAGATTAGAGAGGAGAGTGTCCTGCCGTAATGTTGTACAGTGATGGTGGAGACAGTTGGGGCCTTTCTTAGGCACAGTAGATTGGGGTGACTTGAAAACTTGTTACCTCTCATTTTCTTAAAACAGAAACGAGTGTGTGTGTGTGTGTGTGTGTGTGTGTGTGTGTGTGAAGGCTGAGGTCAATTTTAACGTTATATTGAGGTTTAGAAATGCAGTTGAGGCTAGACTGGCTGGCCCAGGATTCTTCTGTCTCCTGTCTTCCAGCACCAGAAACTTAAACAAAACAAACAACAACAACAAAAACAATCATTTCTCCTGGCCCCAAAGCTTCCTCTTCAACCTAGTGTACAATATCTCTAAAGTCAAAACCTACTTCCTAGTTTGGTTCAAAATTCTTTCCATGGAAGGCTGCTGACAGTGGGCCTCACGTTAAAGACAGGCCTGATGTGGCCCAGAACTGGCTGGCACACTCCGCTGGGAGTGAACTATTCACGCCTCCCCAGCGTTGCCTAAGCGGCAGCCTTCCTGCCAACTATCCAGGCAGGAACCCAGGGTATCAATAAAAAGGCACTGCGGGGTGCTGCGGGGGTGGAGAAGCCGATTATCAGCTTTATTGTAAAAAACAGAAAAAGTGAGCAGTAACCAGAGAGCGGTTAATCCTTCTGGGAATTCTGGCTAACGGGGCAGGAATTAACCTTGTCAGTAATTAGGCCATCAATGACCCTTTCAGGGAACCTTCAAAGACCTCAGCTTTGTTTAGAGAACCTGTGTGGGTGGAACCAGCTGTCTGCACAAAGAACAGCATAAAGCCCAGCTACCCCGCAGCAAGTTCAAGGACCACTTCTCCAGCGGGGGAGCACGGCGCGAGGCAGCCGGGGCTCCGGTCCTCCCCGCAGCATGGGGAAGCGCAGGCTCCCTCAGCCGAGCCTGGTCCTGCTGTCCCTGCTGCTGCCGCCGCCCACAGATGCCGCCTCATCACAAAAGCCGTGAGTTCCACAGAACGCCGGAAGCTTGAATTTGGGGTCTTCTGTTCCTTTCCTACAACACCATCACCGTCCTCCTCCTCACCTCTGAGGTTCCTTGCAGCTCTGAGGTCTTCCAGACCTTCCCCACCCATTATTTCTCCTTAACTGAATCTCCATCGCTTCTCTTGAGCTCTCTGGATTTCGGAATATCCAAATTCCCTCGCGATGCGCAGGACCTCGGGGGTCTCCCTTGAAGCTTTGTCCTTCTTGCCGGCTCCTTCACCTCCCTCGCCCTGTTAGCTAAAATAAAGACGCACCTCTCCAGAGTGGCGCTTTGTGCCGGGGTTTGAAAATCCCTAGCAAAGATTTCAAATGTTGACGTTGGTGCCTGAGAAAGCAAAACGACTTTAGTGACCAAGCAGGACTAGTGTGCAAATCAGCTAGTCAGGAATTCTGTGTTTCAAAGAACCAAGAAAGGATCAAGGAGAATACACGAACAGCTAGAACAGCGACGGTTCTGGGTGACTTAGGGTAGGTCGTACAAGAGGATGTGGAAGAAATGGTGACAAAGACATAGTTATTCACCATTTACTTACTCATACCGGAGACTGCTTTTCTCAGGGCTTATATTTACACAAAACAAAAAAAAATTTTTTTTTGTTTTAACGAGGAATATCCAGCTAAAGATTATTAATGTCCATAGTGGAAGGAGCACGCACAATTCTCAATAAAGATGTGCTTTGAAAGCATTTTAATTTTAAATTTAATACATACGTATCATGATTTATATTTTTGGTAAGTTGTGCATTAGGACTTCTGAAAATAACTCAATCATGAAAAAAACACTTGACACTTACGAATTCATGGTCACACATTTAAAAGAAGAGTTACTGTTAAGCTTATATACTCACAGGTATATATTTACATATTAATAAAAAATTAAGAGTTCATGAGATATTTTTGACGCGTAAGGAGCTCATAGTATAAACTTCTAGATAGAAAGTGGCACAGAAAATATAATTTTTGACCATTTCAAAAATTTTATTTATTATTGCTTTGTTGTTTTTGTTCATTTGTTTGTTTTGTGGTTTTGTTTATTTGTTTTGAGACAGGCTCTTGCTATGTAGGCCTTGGCAGCCTCAAACTGGTTGAAATCCTCCTGTCTCAGTCTTTCAGGTCATGTGCCACTACGTCTCCCAATACGTATTTTTAAGTGGGTGATTACTGCCTATAATATTTAAAATTCTATGGGGAAGTTAACAGCTAATTTAAGAGAAATCAAGCCTCATTTTAGAGTTTCGAAAGAGTGTGTTTGCTTACTGTTTAAAATCGTAATGAGAACAGAAGTTAACCTGAGAGTATGTGAGAGGCTATGCCCTTTAAAAGCAATCTGGAGAGCCGCGGTTTGCAGCTGGACTGTCAGTCTTCAGCCATGGTGCAAACCGTCTGCCCTGTTCCTGAGTTACCAGAGGGCTAATGCCTTTGAATGGAGCTTTTCTCTGCATTGGGAAAGGCAAATGCATATGATGCAAACAGGCATCCAGGTTAGGTAACCCACAAAGGCTTTGTCGTCTGCCCACAACTAGACTCTCAACTGCTGACTCGCTTTTGACGAGGCTCAGATTCCTTATCCGTAAAACAGGAGCAAGCCCTTGGTGTGTACGTTTTTACAGGCTTGCCGAGTGCATGCCCGTACTCTCTCTCTCTCTCTCAACAAAGACGCTCACTACAATGGTCTGAGGGTGGGGAGGAGAGAGGGAGGGAGTTCTTACGCCACCCAGCAGTTTTGTGTCTGTCATGCCTTACTGAATTACTAAGGATGATGGTAATGGGACTGACGGAACGCAGTCCTCTAACTGTACTCTTTGGTCCCCAGCATCTACATGGTGTTGGTCCCCTCCCTGCTGCACGCAGGCACCCTCGAGAGGGGCTGCCTCCTTTTCATCCACTTGAACGAGACAGTGACGGTGAAAGTGTCCGTGGAGTCTGTCCAGGGAAACAAAAGCCTCTTCACCGATCTTGTGGTTGACAAGGAGTTATTCCACTGTGTTACCTTCCTTGTGAGTTTGGCCACTTGGCTTACGGGCAGTTAGAGAGTTGGGATCTAGTATTATTGAGATGAAGCATCGGGAAACTGGGTGGCAGGGGTGTGGTGTGGTGGGGCACGGGGCTGGGGGTGGAAGGGGTGTCATCTAAGAATTCAAAGGTGACAAACGAGCGTAGAGATTAAGGGTAAACATCTGTTTCCACCTACATATTACAGGCATATTGAAAATAAATTCAACAGTCAAAGGAAAATTTTATTCCTCTTTTTTTTTTTTTCTTTTAAGCATGCAGTAGAAAAGGGGGGAAACATGACTTTTGCTTAATATCATTTTATAAAATTCCTAAAGCAGACTGGGTCAAGGTTAATCATAAGCCACCACTGCTGATGGACAAAAATGCCTCATGTTCTTCTAAGAATAAAGATTGAAGAAAGCACCCTCAGCAGGATTCTTGCAATCTGGTACTAACAGAATGGTCCCCTCTCCCCATAGCATTAAGGCTCTGAAGACCTGCTTGCACAACGTCCTGTTAGTGTATAATAACTTTGCCGAAGGCAGTGTGGAGCTGGGTCAATACTGCACTGTTTTCTATACAAACCAAGATGAGATTTTTCAGTCACAGCTTCTCTTACTAACGTATCCCCTCATCTCATACCCAGGCTTTCCCATTTCTAGAGTATCAAAATGCTTGCCCACGCCAACTTCCCAGAGGAGAATAAGAAAAAGCGTGAGATCGCCACAGACATGTAGAACGGGGGTTGCAGGGGAGAGGAGGACGAGGCTGGAGAGACACACTGGGTTTTCAGACCCTCTTCTGTATTTCAGGTCCCACAGTCTTCATCCACTGAGGTGATGTTTCTCACTGTCCGCGTAAAAGGAGAAACTCACAAATTCAGGAAACGGAGCACGGTGCTGGTTAAGAGGAAAGAGAGTCTGGTCTTTGCTCAGACTGACAAGCCCATCTACAAACTGACGCAGACAGGTATGGTGAGGTCCACCATCAGGGCAGCATCTAAAAACTCCTCTGGCTCTGCCTGCTCCTCACAGTTGCTGTGATCCTTGTTCTTTAACAGTTTTTGTTGCCCATGGATAGGACTGGTCAAGGGCTAGGGATCACCGAAAAAATATTTCTATTTCAGTGAAATTTTGTGTTGTTTCATTGGATGAAAAATTTCGCCCCCTTAATGAATTGGTAAGTCTCCTGTTACTTACATAAAATCATCGTTGTTTGTGTAAAATGGCTGCTTAAGTTGTAGAGGGAGGGAGAGTTGAACAGTGTGCGCAGTGATTTCTCTCATTGCAATAGAGCAGGGCCTTGATCTAAAACATTATCCCAGGTCAGACGGTAGGTAACGTGTACTGTCATGGTCTGGCACTCAGTTGCTTGTCAAATAATTAAACTTATCCTTCAGCTTCTAACTAGGAAAAGTAAGAAAACGAACAATGAATAGCTGCCCAAAAATCTAAGTTCAAATATTTCTTAGAGATTTAAATGTTTTTCAAACACGCCAAAGTCTCTGCTATGAAAGAAGTGGGAACGTGTATTCCTTTGTGACTCGGCCACAATGTGGGCATCAGACCAGCTGTCCATTCTCAGCTGAGTTTTTCCGCCACGTGTTCCCATCTCAAAAAAAGAATCAATTCTCCTTTAGCTCCAAAGATTTGATGAAATGGTATGACCCTGGCTTCTCAGTTTCTCACACCCACATCTACTTCACACAAAATCGTATTGGCTTAGAAAAAAAAAATTCTATTTCTTACTACCTGAATTGTTACAACTTATCCCAACATCTGTAAACAAGACTGTTACTGTAATCTGGATATTTGTCTCTCAGCTTCTGCCTTTAGTCTACCTGAAATCGAATATGATATCCACCGCTCTGTCAGGTTAACCTGTATGTGTGATATATACTTATACACACATACATGCATACACATATCAAACCCTATATATATATATATATATATATATATATATATATATATATATATATGTTAATGTTATCTAAGTGAATAAACATTGGTGGCAGAGGAGATATTCCTATCCCTTCCCATTCTTAGAAGCGCCTCATGATGCATATTAATAACTCTGTCCAAGACTAGTTCCTTCCATTTCCATGTATTTATTTTCCAGTCTGTGAAGTTGCATAGCAAAGGAATGTTCTTGAATAGGATGCTACACGCACTTAGATAACATTAACAAGTCCTGTTCCTAACAATAGACACAATATTGCCACCATTACCCATGGCCAACAAAGTTCTTAACATTACCTATTAATTGCTTGAAATGAATTAATTAAAACTTTGAAAAAGCTTAATTTGTAGACTACATACAGATAGATAAATAGATAGATAGATGATAGATACTCTGTAAATGTTGAATTATTCCATGTAAGCTAGAATTGGGTCTATTTGAGAACATAACATTCTTTCTCTCTTTTCTTTCAGATTCCTCTACTGTATGTTCAGGTGAGCTACATAAATAGTACACAATTAGAAGAAAGCAGTCATTTCAGGGGAAAACTCCTTTCAGGATGTCTGACAATATGCCGGAGACTTTGGGGAAAGAAGAAGCCCCCAGTTCACGCAGCGATGGGTGACTGGAACTCAGCTGCCCTCTGAGCCTACCATTTTCCCTCTTTTTGATAACATGGGAGTCTCCATAGATTTCTTTCATAATCTCGGATGTTCTCTGCACTTCTGTGAATTGTGGTTCATTTATTACAGGACCCCAGAGGAAATCGTATTGCACAATGGCAGAGCGTCAAGTTAGAGAGTGGCCTCAGACAGTTGTCCTTCCCCCTCTCCTCAGAGCCTCCTGAGGGCTCCTACAAGTTGGCAATACGCACAGAATCGGGCAGGACCATAGAGCACCCCTTCTCTGTGAAGGGATTCGGTATGGCTCATGGAAAATCATGGGACGTTGTCCTTCATAACCGAGACCTTTAGGGCTCAGAGTTTGTGCTAATTTAGATTCGTTCTGCTTCCCATGAATCATGTTTTGGGCTTAGAGTAGAATCGATTATGTCTAAGTCCAGTGGGGTGTTAGTGATTTGAGAATAAAATGACATTTAGTTTAGTTGTTTGTAGCAATACTGGATGACCAAAATAAAATACTGTTTCAGTAGTGAGAGTGGGAAGAGGGAAGGGAAGTGGAGAGAGAGAAGAGGGAGGGAGAGAGAGACTCTTTAAGATTACAATGAACTGTCATAGTTCCTTAATCAAAATCTTTCCTTGAGGATGAAGTAAACATAGATAAATTGGAGAATGGAGTTACCTTTACAAAATACCAACCTATCATTAGAGAACTGTTACAAAGAACTGGAAAACATTGAAGTCTTCAGATCTGAAGAGCAACCACTAACCTCCTTCACTGTAACCTACAGTGCTTCCCAAGTTTGAAGTCAAAGTGAAAGTTCCAGAGACAATCACCATCCTGGATGAAGAGATGCGTGTGTCTGTGTGTGGCAAGTGAGTAGATGGAAATGAAAATAACTTTCTTTCTTCCCTCCCTCCCTCCCTCCCCCTTTCTTTCTTTCTTTCTTTCTTTCTTTCTTTCTTTCTTTCTTTCTTTCTTTCTTTCTTTCTTTCCTTTCTCTCTCTTTCTCTCTTTCTTTCTTTCCTCTTTCTTTCTTTCCTTCCTTCCTTCCTTCCTTTCTTTCTTTCTTTCCTTTCTCTCTCTTTCTCTCTTTCTTTCTTTCTTTCTTTCCTCTTTCTTTCTTTCCTCTTTCTTTCTTTCTTTCTTTCTTTCTTTCTTTCTTTCTTTCTTTCTTTCTTTCTTTCTCTTTCTTTCTTTCTCTTTCTTTCTTTCTCTTTCTTTCTTTCTCTTTGTTTTTTAATGTTTTTTCATGTGGAAGACAGGACTAGACTTAGAGTACACTGTGGAAGGTTCAGTTATTGTGGCAGAATATATTTAGAAGCTAACCATTTCCTGAAGTCAAAGAGTAGTCAAATTAAAATTCTCAGAAGTATACTGTAGTCTTTATAATTTAATGCTGGGAAGTAACTTTACTATCTGCAGCAAGACTGTCTCAGCAGACAGCAAAAGGGTGGAGTTGTGTGCCCATTCTTGTGTTTGCACACACAGCTGACATTTTCATGATAAACCTAGATAGTATTGATATTTAAGGGTGCTGATCCATGTCAGCCTGTTTTTTTCTGCTATAACATATACGAGATGACTGATATGCCAATTATCTTTAGCTCATCGCTATACACCGCTTACCTATGTATTAAAACTTCACATTGGATTTTATGAATACCTTGTGTCAATTAACAGAATTAAAAAAAATTTAAAGTAGCTTATAGCAAAAATGTCAGCAACTTTATACTATGGACTGGGCCGCATCATTTATTTGTTCATTTGGCTGAGTTCACTATTAACAACCGTTTGGTTTTTAAAGCCTGCTCTAAGGATGAGTGTGCCTCCTCAGCTTTGCCTTTGTCATAGGCAAAGTACATTGTAAAGACTGCCCACTCTCCAGCAGGCTCACCATCTAGGATGGGAGGGCAGAAACACATGCAAATCAAACAGAGAAGCACGTGGCACCCGTGTCAGGACGTTTTGCTTGTATACATATATAATGCTGTGCCATAATGTTAAGCCATGGGAAGTTATCTACCACAATGTCTGAATTGCAAATAAATTGGAGGGCTGAATTAAGTTTCTATTGCAATGTAACTCTCTTCTTGATATAATTCTCTGTGAGTTATACATAGTGCACAGTCTTTGCAAATTAGCCACAGTGCATCTTAGATCACTCCTATTTATTCTTGTTGCTTTGTATCTCTTCAGACTCTTATTTTTCTTCCTAGCGTTGGTTACTGCTCAGTAAGTCTATATTAGTTACATGTTTATTTAACATCTGTCTCCTTTACCACGCTGTAGCCTCCTGATGATACCCACAGTGCTTGGCACTGTGTGCATGCAATGCCTAAAGAAAGACCTTTGCTTTTAATCTTCAGGTCCTGTTGGAGGATGGGAGAGGCACCCCTATTCAGTATGAAATGATCTCCATCATAGCAAATGAAGCAAACCATTACTTAAATGCTACGACGGATAAGGATGGCCTGGTGTCGTTCTCCATCAACACTGACAACATCATGGACACCTCCCTAACTGTCAGGGTGAGTGTGGAAAGAGCTTGTAAAGACATGAGCAAGTCTCGAAAATAAAATTGCAACCTAAAGAGATGAACTCTCCAAATTGTGTTTAGTCCTATGGAGAGAAATGTGCTTTATAACTTAGAGGCAATTCAAGGTCAACTTTTACCAGCTTTATGGGTGCTGTATTTTATAAGGTGGTACATGCACCATGGAAAATATTGTGCCAAGTAAAATAAAATAGAATAAACTGGTGTTTCTATAAAATTTAGCAGTCATTCTTATGTACACATTATTGTTCACCCTGCTGCCCAGTTGTAGCTAATGATAATGTACTATATATTTCAAAAAAGCCAGAAGAAAACATTGTAAATGTTGTTGCCATAAAAAATAACATTTTTTTGTTAACAAGTAGGATGTTTGGTCTGATTTAAATATTATGAAATTCAGAACTACGGAATGCACTCACTCACACACCTAAGATAGGCCTGGAAAGCACACCAGCTAAATCTCCAAACTCCGCTCTAGCCATTGCTATTGGCAGCCATTTTCTCAAATCTATAAGGCTATGCCATTTCATTGATTCATAAAACCCAATGGGAACTAGTCACCAAAGGCATCACAGCCTTGCAAAGTGGTGACTGTGTTCACCCTCCCTGGTGAGGTTTTGTAGCTCTGGTGTCTCTCTTCATTGACAAAGGAGCAGAGGCACCGTCAAGCCAAAAAAGCAGCAAGCTTTATGGCTCATGTTATTCTCTTCTGACATATAAATACCAAACTCATGATGTTCTGTGGCAAAAAAAAAAAAAAAAAAAAGCCACAGAACATGCCTATATTCAAGACAGATAAATCAAATAAGGGCCTTTCTTGCTTTTACTATAGAGGGAGGAGGAATAAACATTGTGAGGACATTGTGAGGCCAGGGGTCCCTGATCTACCATCTTAGTAAAAATGACATCGTTTTTTCTAATTCCTTAGGCCAAGTACAAGGATAACCATGTCTGCTATGGGTTCCGATGGTTGACAGAGGAGCATGTGGAGGCTCAGCACACAGCCAGTGCTGTTTTCTCACCAAGCCAAAGCTTGGTGCACCTGGTATCCACGCCTGGCAAACTGCGCTGTGATCAATGGCTGCACATCCAGGTGCTTTATATTCTAAACGGGAAGGCTGTGCAGGAACTGAAGAAGATAGTCTTCTATTATCTGGTGAGAAGGGAGGGCGCCTTATCTTCCGCCTGCAGATAAAGCTCCCTGGGGGCGCGGGGTTATGGACTTGTAGACATCACTGTTTTGGCTTCCTTTAAAACTTATTACTATTACTATTATTATTATTATTATTATTATTATTATTATTATTATTTTTAATGTGCGTATCTGTGTGTGAGTGCCCAGGAGGGCCAGAAGAGTACATCTGGTCCCTTGGAGCAGGAGTTACAGGTGGCAGTGAGCTGCTCAGCATGGTTGCTGGGAACTGAACTTGGTGCTCTTAACTGCTGAGCCATCTCTCCAGCCCCTGGCGTCTTAGTCTTTTTTTTTTTCTTTTTCTAAAGTCTGACTTCTCGTGGGGCTAATCATTTCCAGCAGGGGCTCAATAAGACAAGCGTGTAGAATGGAAGCCCGGCTAAGATCTCTGCTGGAAATTTTTTAATTTCCTGTCTTGCAGCTCATGGCAAGGGGAGGCATCGTTCGCTCAGGGACGCACGAGCTGCCTGTGGAGCCCGGAGACAGTGAGTATGGCATCATCAGCTCTGCTCCATGCCCACCACCTGACCTTGCTGCTCGGCCGGGAGCCTTCCAAACAGGCTCTTTCCCATCTAGTCACAATAAAGAGGAAGCCAGGAGGAATGCAGTGTTTTCTGCCATCCTTTATCAAATAGTTTTATTTTTTTTTTCCAATATACTTTTCTTAGGTTTGTTAAAATGTTGGTAGGGTCACGAGTATGCTGTAGTTATTTCAAATTTTCCGGCTAGAAATGTTCGTACATCTTCCTCTCCGTATGAAGGACATTTTAGAATTGTGTAAATGGAAAGGAGGAAAACTTTGGGGTGCTTTCCAATTACCTGGTTCTGTGCTAAAGTCTTTGTATCTGTGTGTGTGTGTGTGTTTCCTCTGAAGTTTGCGATGAGTTACAAAGGGTCAGCTGGTCATTTCTACCTTTGGACTCTGCCCTTGGATAACAGAATAATAAACATTTGAAACCCCATTGTGTTTGGGGTCCAAACACTGACTTACTAGAAAACTATGAATGCTTTACTATAACTTCTTGGTGCAGCAGACTCAAGAACATTTAAAGCAAACGCCATGGTTTACACAGGTTTCAAAGCAGGCTTCTGTGGGAGTGTAGACCTTCAGGAGACAAGGATACCGCCATGTTTCCCGGAGGGTAAAAAGGAAAAAAAGCAAGAGCGCAGTATGTTAACCTCCTGCCACAGGTTCCAGAGCTTATTTCTCTCCTAACGTGAGCTATCAAGAATGAATGATGGTGAAATTGATGCTTCCTCTCTCTCAGCTAGCTTTCCAGGGCAGTGTCAGTCAGCTAGAGCTCAAAAGTGACAAGAAAAAAAAATACATATGATTTATATAAGAAGGAGGATTTTGTGTCATTGTCTTCTTCGAGGCCAGGGTTCTGCAAGCTTGTCATGCCTTTGTTCTGTGCACTGCTCGTGATGTCTGCTAACTGTAGCAGCCGCTGGCCAGCCTAGGTGCCCACTGGCCAGCCTAGGCGCCCACGTTGGCTCCACGTAATAAAGGAACTCTCATTTTTTACCCGGAATGAGTTTAACCCGTGGCTACCTCTCGTTCTCTCTGCACCAGTGAAAGGCCACTTCTCCATATTTATCCCGGTGGAGACAGACCTGGCTCCTCTGGCTCGACTGCTCCTTTTTACCATTCTGCCTGGTGGAGAAGTAGTCGCAGATACTGTCAAATATGAGATTGGAAACTGTCTGAACAACAAGGTGGGTGCGTTAAAGAATAAAATGTCAACATTTATCACTAGTAGTTCCATTTTTTTAATTAGTTTGTTCATTTTACTTCCCCATCTCCATCGTAGGCACCTCCCTCGACTCCTCCTGGCCCCACCCACCCACTTTCCCCCTATTCCCATCCCCTACTCTTTAGAAAGGGGGAGTCCTCCTCCCTTACCAACTGACTCCAGAGTATCAAGTCTCTTCAGGACTGCCTGCATCCTCTTCCTTTGTGATCCGCCTTGACCAGGGGAAGTGATCGAAGAACAGGCAACAGAATTCATGTTAGAGACAGACCCTGGTCCCCTTACTAGGTGACTTACATGGAGACTGAGCTGCCTACTGGCTACATCTGAGCAGGGGGCCTGGCCCCTCTCCACGGTTCACCTCTCTGTGGTCCAAATTTGTTGGTTCTATTGGTCTCTTTGTGGAGCTCTGTCCTCTCCGGGTTACCCATTCTTTTATACCTGTGTGGACTAGTGGGTTAAATGATCACCCTAGCAAGGTTGTACAGGGTCACTGCAGACTCGGATTAAGGAGTCATGTTATTGCCTCCCTTTGAAAATTGTCTGTGCAGCACTGACTCGTCACCTGTAACCTCTCTCAGTGGCCTTTTCCCCCACTCTGTGATGCAATATTTGGAAGTTCGCAAGCAAGTTTAAAGACCACACAAAGCCCAAATGAAAATGCTTAGGCCTTTTTGCGTCACACAAACCCAGATTTAATGAGCACCCACTGTATATCAGAGGTAAAAGACTGACCCTTCAAGATGGCCACTTAAAAATGCCTTTGGAGAGACCATTACAGTCATCCAACTGAATCTTGAAAACCAAAGTGAGGTTCAAGGGGAGGGAGGGGGGAGGCCTCATTCAAGTAGCATAAACCAACCCCTGTGAAAGAGTCTGAAGTGTTTCTGTGTTGAAAGGTGAGGAATACCTGGGGAGTGTAAGGGACACATGGTGGAATTCAGATATTGATTTTTCTGACCTTTCTTTCCTCAGGTGACTTTGACCTTCCACCCGAATAGCAGTCTTCCCGGCACCCATACCCTCCTTAGCGTCATGGCTTCTCCTAATTCCCTCTGTGCCCTGCGAGCTGTGGACCATAGCCTGCTGCTCCTAAAGCCTGAGGCTGAGCTCTCTCCATCCTTGGTGAGTCCTTGTCAGTCTTGGATATGCGAGACAACCCACGTGACGGTCCTGAAGCGAGAGGAAATACTTGAGTAACATAAGAAACCACAGTTACACTGAGGAAGGTGGAAGAAAACGATCAAAATCTACTATATGAAATTCTCAAAGAATAAGTAAAAGCATAAAATAAACAACTATAGTTTCCTAAAGGTTGATAGTTTTGAACTTTGATGGACACTTTGAAGATCCTTTTGCAAATGATCTCTTGTACGCCTCCTTTCCTCTCTCCCATTACTAGCGTCTGCAGGTGAAAAAAAAAATGATGCCATTGCTTTGTCTAGTATATGGAACTAAGCAGAGAACCAGTATTTTGAAAAGGTGAAAAGACAATACAAATTAACCAGAAAGACTTATGATTCAAGCGTCCATGTCCTGCTCCAGAACACGTGGCTACATAAGCTGTGACTGTGTTGAGCCACTGAGCTTGGCTGAGCTGAGGAGGGCAAGAGGCAAGCTGTGAAAAAGTTCTGCAAGAGATGGACAGATGTTCAAAACAAAAAGGGTCATTTCTGATTGCAGAACTGGGAGGTCATGATAACGATGCCTATGGAAAAGAGAGCAGAGTGGCCAAAACCCATAACTCTGCAAAATCAATAATATTTGTTCTCAAGCTAGTTTTAACATCTTAGGAAGCCTCGTGAAGATGACAAACTTTACGAAGCAGGTCTGGGTGGCCTCTTTGCTCCAAGACTACACAGACCCAGTGGTATTTCATATTCCTGTTTTCATAAGAATGGCAGTCAACTGAAATAAGGAACATCACAAATTGAGCATCATTACTGAAAAAATTTAGAAAAATGAATCACTATATGATTGTGACATTGAGAAATAACATAGTTGCAAAAGGACGTAATGAAAGGGTACACTATTACCCGTGACTGCACGTCAGCATATACTGATTATATTTTCTTAAAGCTTCACATTCTCATTATGGAGGCCAGCTGGAATATGTTCTTGCTAATGCACTTATGAAAGCTTACAAAAGCAAATGATATCTTTACACTTCATTAAAAAAGTAAGCATGGGATTGGGAAGAAGGCACAATGAATAAAGGAGCTTGCAGTCAGTCCTGATAATTTGAGTTCAATCCCTGGAGCCCACATGGTGGAAGGAAAGAATGACACAGGCTACCTTCTGACACACACACACACACACATGCACACACACACACACACACACACACACACACACACACACACGTTTTTAAAAAGCCAATGTGGCGTCACACCTTTAATCCCAGCAATCGGGGAGCAGAGGAAGGAGGATCTCTGGGAGTCTGAGGCTAGCCTGATGTTTGTAGTAAATTCTGGGACAGCCAGGACCACATAGAGAGACCTGGTCCCAAACAAACAAACAAGGTTAAAAAAGGAAATAGAAGCCTAAGAAAATAAAAGTTCTTGATCTGTAAATTTCTACTTTATATTACTATGTGTATATTTATGGTGTGTGTTGATGTGCAGGTTTCTCCTTGCACAGTGGGCTCTGGGGGTTGGAACTCAGGTCTTCAGGCTTGCATGGTAGATATATCTGCTGAACCATCTTACCAGGGCATACTGCTTGGCCTTTACAACTGCTATTTTTAATAGAGGTGTTAAAAATGTACATTGAAAGGACATACTAAGAACATCTCAATAAGGAGAAAAATAGCATTGTTTCGTGTGTGTGTGTGTGTGTGTGTGTGTGTGTGTGTAATATGATTTTTGTACTTGTCAGAGCTTTAAAATGATTGCAACTCCGATGGACACAGAGAATAGATAGTCTAGTAATTCTATAATCGTAAAAAAGGAGCATTCAGGCATTTGGGACAGGACGTGTTCCTCTCAATTCTTTGTTAGTATTTTACTAACAGTACAATTTCGCCTGGTAGTGTAAGACATTCAGTGAACACGTACTTAATGCCGACTGTGTTCTTGGAGCTGTCCTAGATGCTGGGGAGCTAGTTCAGATCTATGGAAAGCCAGATATTTGTGTCTTATAAATTTACATTTTTATAGCCGGGCATGGTGGCACATCCCTGTAATCCCAGCGCTCGGGGAGACAGAGGTAGGTGGATCTCTGTGAGTTCGAGGCCAGCCTGGTCTACAAAGTGAGTCCAGGACAGCCAGGGCTATACAGAGAGACACTTTCAAAAAACAAACAAAACCTTACATTTTTGTAATGGAAATGATAATAATGTGTTTTGGAGACAACAAGGCAGAGAGGAAGATTGCTGGGGAGGAACTGAGGAGGAGTCGCTTCTGCTCCCAGCCCTGTCTTTTTAGGCCAGGATCTCTTCCTTGTGAACGCGCCTCTATGCACCTGTGAGCACTTTATGTCTGTCTTACTTCTCTCCCCTAAATGGGTTTGAAAGCATCATGCCAAGTTCAGAGTTCAGCCCTTAGGGACTGTAGGATGACCTGGAGCATTTTGTCTCCGGAAGTGCTTTTTCCTCTCACATGGAGGCTGTTCACAGCACTTGTTCTCTTGGGGAACATGTGTCCTTTGCTCCCAGGCAGTGTTAGAACTACCACTCATTCCTTCCGCTCAAAACACTGTATCGCCCACAGCACAACTCAATTCCAGTTCCTAGGTTATGAAGGTCTCCTTCCATTTTGGTATTGAGTATAGTGTTTGCTGCCGAATGCTGTAAACAGGTATTTCCCCGGCTGATTAAGTCGGAAGTACATTGGGTTTGGGTGCTGCTGTCCTTGGGCTTTTCCCTTGGTTACATAACAGAGAGCCACAGACCAGTTAGCCCTTGCACCCTTTCTGCAGGTTTACAATCTGCTACCTGTGAAGGACCTTACTGGCTTCCCCCAGGGTGCTGACCAGCGGGAAGAAGACTCTAGAGATTGTATCAAGCAATACGACATCTACATCAATGGGATACTCTACTCCCTGGTGGAGAACACCAATGAAGAGGATGTGTACGGCCTCCTGGAGGTAAGCATCTTCTCTTGGAGACAGGTGTGAAGGTTCTCAAAGCACCCTGTGTGGAATACAGGTTTTGGTGCCTCCTTAACACCATTGAAACCAACAGAGTAAAGGGATCAAGTACCTTCTCCGAGGTCACCAGCAGAAACAGATATGTGAAGCACAGAGGAATCAGGGCCAGGCATTTTGATTAATGATTAATGACGTTTTCTTTCCATTGAAGGTCATTGCTTTGCAATATTTATAGGTATGTATACAGTTATTGCTGTTGGGTGATTTTAAGGGGCAAAATGACCTTCACGCCACAAGCGTGCTGTCATTCCTGCCTCGTGTGCAAACACAGAAAGTTTAATTCAGACGGAAGGAGGTGTGAATGGAGAGGTACTAACTGGGTGGTCATTTCCTTTGTAGGAAATGGGCTTAAAGGTTTTCACCAACTCAAAGATCCATAAACCCAAAGTCTGTGAACGGCTCGGACACACTCAAAGAGGTTAGTGCCTAAAAATACGGAACCAAGTAAGACAACATTTTAAGAATAAAGTGTGACCAAGGTTAACGAAAGACTTGATGCGGAGACATCAAGGCTGTTGCAGTGTTCATGATGATGTAAGCTCAGAGCTGTTACGGGCACGCCTCCACCCAGTGTAAGCCTGCGGAGCACGGAAGGCAGGGTGTGAGCAGTGGCTTAGGAGAAGTGCAGGCCTGGTATAGGCACTGTGGAAAGAAAGAATGGACTCTGAGGAGTCAGACCATCAGCCACCAAGAACCCGTGTCTGCTGGTAGCGATGAGGGGGCTCAAAGAAAAGGGAAGGTTCCCTGCAGTCTAACTGTGCTAAAACGCTCCCAAAGCAGGCAGGGCAGCGCTCTCAGCCGAGTGAAGAGCTTCTTCAACGGCCCTAAAGCATCAGTGGATGCTCTTCACCGTCTTCAGCTGTGCAAACCATTTCTCTGCTGAATCCTAGCAGGCAGCGCGAACTTAGTCTTAGGCCATTGTTCTCTAGTGGTTGCATGCATTTAAGTATGGAGAAGAGGAAGAAAGAATCTAGGAAAATGTTTGGCGAGTAAATTCATTTTCTATGTGAAATGTACTACGGAGAGTCGGATATTCTTACTTCTAGATTGTATTGAGAATTACAGGGAACCTGTTGTCCCCTGCCCGTCTGTCTACTGTCTGCCAGTATGTCTATTGGTGTCAAGTGGCTATCAACACTTCAGGAACTGAAAGTGACAGTAAGGGAGAGCTGACTGACATTCTCATTCAGTATGCAGTACATAGTTTTCTATCCTTGATTCCTCCACTGCTGTAAGTTGTTTCTCAAAACCACTGCTATATGTATTTTTCCTCTGCTACCATAGATGAACATGTCAGTGGCAACTTAGGCTACCGTCCTCTTCCTCCCTCAACACCCTCTATCTCTCCATTTTCCACAGAGGGCAGTAGTTTCCTGGGATCCCACAAAACCATTTCTTTTGCAAAAGTCCAAGAAGGCCACACTTCTTCCATTCTGTGCTTGGTATCTTCTTTCCCTGGTTCAATTTGTTCTAATACCTCAGAGTTCAGCCGAAATGCCATTTTCTCCAAGAAGCCTTCCTGGTTGCCCATATGTCCTTTCCTGACTCCCATCGCACCTTCCCAATCTGTCTATGGCAGCACTTTGGTAGCACAATGTCTCATGAACTCTTATCTATATCTGTATTCACCGCCCCTGTCTTCTCTCACCTACGGTAGGACCAGCTGCATACCATCTCGTAGGCCAAAACCTCATGAATGATTTTCTAGTGGCTCCAGAGTCTCCCAAGGAGACTATACGGACCTACTTCCCTGAGTCGTGGATCTGGGACTTGGTGGAAGTAAGTAACTTATTTTTATATAAGATGTAGAAATGTAGATTCATCACAGTTTTAAACTTCAGTGAGTTTTCCCTTTTTAATGTCTTTATTTAGTATTGCACAGCACGGTGCTTTATTTTTACTGGGAAAACATAAGTAAGGTGAACAATGTAGAAGTTCCCTAGGCTAAACTGATTTCTAATTCTTTATTCCACTGTAAGTGGGATTGTTGTCTTATTGCTTTTTCAGATAGCTTGTTGCTGGTCTAGACATACAAACATACGTTCGATTTTGCATCTAGCAGCATCGCTGAGCTTCTTAGTTCTAACAGGTTTTGTGTGTTTGTTTGTTGGTTGGTTTCTTTTAATGAACTTGTGAGATTCTCTTCACCTGGAATCAGACAGTTGATAAACGGGGGTAATTGGTCATTTCCAACTTGGATACTCTTGACTTCTTTTTCCAATCCAATTATTCTTGAAAGTATTTCTAGTGCTCCATTGAGAGAGGCGGCCTTTATATTATGCTGGATCTTACAGGCAGAGGTTCAGGGGTTTCCCCACTGGGTATAATGTTAGGAGGATTTCATGAGCAGTTTGCATTATGTAGAGAAAATGTCCTTTTATACTTACTTCACTGAGGGTTCGTGCCATGGAAAGATGTTGACTTTTTTTTTTAAACTATAATCATATGAGTTTTACCTTCTAGTCAGCTAATATGATATGCCACATTGGTTGCTCTGTTTTGCATCTAGTGGTCACTGTAGCATCCTTTGAGTGTCCTATTGGATTTAGTACTTGTTATTCTATTAAGAAATATGATTATTTATGATATTGGTTCATAGTTTGATTTTTTTTCTGAGCTTCTCATCTGACTGATACCTGAGCAAGGCTGGCCTCTACTTCCATTTTGGGATGTCTTTGAGAGGTTAATGTTGATTCTTCCTTAAATTAGGGAAATCAGTGAATGAAGCAATCTAGTCAGAAAAGATACACAGAGTGATTTTGTGCCTTTCAAAGTGAGTGTTGTTTCTTGACCCAGCATGTGCTCTGCCCTGGAGAGTATCCCATATGTGCCCGAGAGGAGTCTGTATTCTGATATTTTCTGTATACATCTGTTTGGTTTGTTTTTCGAGTTTATCATTTCTTCATGGGATTTGTCTGCACATTCTAAAGCAGTGGTTACAGCCTTCCTAACTCTGTGACCCTTCAGTAGAGTTCCTTGTGTTGTGGTGACCTCCCAACTATAAAACTATTTTCTTTGCTACTTCATAACTGTAATAATTGCTACTGTTATGAATCATAATGTAAATATCTGTATTTTCTGATGGTCTTAGGTGACCTCTGTGAAGGGGTCATTCAACCCCCTAAGAGGCCACGGCCCTCAGGTTGAGAACCAAGGTTGCAGATGATTCTCAGATCTTTGTGTTTGTTTGCACGACCCCATTTGTCATTGTGGTCACCAGGAGCTTGGGGTTTACCAAGATCTGTCAGTGCTTTGAGATAGAGGAGGTGGAAGATGATCCGCTGAGGCAGGGGGGTGGAAATCATTTGCATCTCAGGTGTTTGCTCCAATCCCTCCATTTCTCTTAGAGAGTCCAGGAGCTGGGTTCACACTGCAGAGCTGAGGAGAGGAAACACTCTTCCTCATAGTGCACATATCTCTCTTCATCCTGTCAGTCCCTGTCCCCAGGGGCCAAGCAAGTTTCTTGTCCTTTTGCTTCCAGAGACAGGGAAGCTGTTGGACACTTTGATCTGTCTCTAGAGCCATCCGGTAGAAGGGGCAGTGTGAAAGGCCCATGCAGCCGGTCATGTTCCCAGAGGACCACGAAGTCATTAAAGGCCCGATCCCCTGGGAAAAGTGGTGTCGCTGAGTGCTCAGTCAAACATATTTCAGGACAAAACTAGGAGCTGAATTCTTTCATTCTTTCTCTTTGTGCTGAGCCCTGGGAGATAGCCACTCACACCCATTGCACATTTTCTCTTTGTTTTCCCTGGTGTCAGGGATCCTGAGAATTGGAGCAAACCACTCGTTCCCCAAGATGGGTGATTTAGTAGGCAGGCCAAACCCTGGGAAGAACTGCAAAAGCTGAGATGCTTCATGCATTCACAAATCCCTTCCAAGGAGAAGCCGGAAGATGGTTTTGTCACTGAAGGAAAGACCTGGAGTGAAATCTCGGGAAATGTTTACCTTTCTCTTCAGGCTCCCAGCAGTGTGCTGTGTGACGGTCCCTTCTCTACAGTGGCCTGGGAAGGAGAGCAATTCCCAGAGAACAAGGACAGTGAACCCCTTCTAGGAGAAACCAAAAACTCTTATCTGATTTTTTTCAATTTGAAATTGCATCTCTGTTTTCAGGAGACATTACCATGTTACCTCTATCTTTTGAGTCAGAAGTAAAATCCCTTGGAAAAATTTTAATTATAAAGATTCTAGAAGGTGGGCCTATGGACCAAATGCAAGCAAGCATCATACATATTAATTAAAGATCTGCTTCTCTACTGATAAGCAAGCGTAGGTTAAGCTTGAAATAATTCTGGCCGAATAGACGCAGTAGGAGCAGAAGGAATAGCTAAAATGAGTCCCCTTGTCCTGAGCATACAGGGCAGGCTGTGGGGTGACTGCCACAGAACCTCAGTGAGAGTCAGCTCCAGACTCTCCCTGACTCCTCACTTTCTTTGGAAATGCTACTTCATATCAAGGGAGCACGGATGGTTTGGGATGAAATCCTGAAAACCCCCGACTCCCAGTAGCTACTAAGGTCAGAACCAAAACCATCTTATTTTTGTAAAAAGAACAATTTTTCAGAGGAAGCTTGTGCTTAAGGTGCCATTCTAGTTTGCGGGCCATCGAGGTGTCTAAATGGCCTATCACAGACTGGCCTTTCCTGTGGCTGACGTGCTTCTTGCCCTAGGTACCGAGGTGTCTGAACAGATATCGCTGAAGCTGCCACCAGGTGTGGTAGAGGACTCCCCTAGAGCCTCTGTCACAGTTTTGGGTGAGTTCACTCCTAGAGAACTTGAACATTAACTTTTGCTCTATTTTTTAACTTTTGCTCTATTTTCATATGTGTGCATGTGCAAAATTGTTTTGCTTTGTAATTTTTAATTAAAATATAATTATAACATTTCCCTCTTCTCTTTCTTCCTCTCCTATGTGTCCCCCCTTCACTCTCTCTTTAATTATTACCTATTTTTTAACATTGTTGTTACATATGCACACAGATTCCTAAATATGTCAACACAACTCCTCATTCCGTACAGTGTTACTTTTCTATAAATATTTATTCAAAACAAAAGAACAACAACAACAAAAATGTAGTACACACCTACAATCCCAACACCTGAGAGCTCGAGGCAGGAGGATAGAGTTTGTTGCCAGCCTAGTTTGCATAGCAAAACCTTGTCTTAAATATGTACATACATACAGGCATGCATCATGCATATATAAATACATGGAATTGTACTTTTAACTTCTTTTCTTTGAATTACTGTTTGCAATAATCCTTCTTTCCTGTCGGCATCCTTTGTAAAATTACTCATTTTTTAAAAAACATGGCTAATTACTCATTTTTTTTTGCTATAATCTTACATTTCATTATCTTCCATTTTCTAGGAGATATATTGGGTTCTGCCATGCAAAGCATACAGAATCTCCTCAAGATGCCCTATGGCTGTGGAGAACAGAATATGGTTCTGTTTGCTCCTAATATCTATGTCCTGGATTATCTGAATGAAACGCAGCAACTGACAGAGGAGATCAAGACCAAGGCCATTGACTATCTCAATATGGGTGAATGAGGGACTGAAAGTTGAAAGCCTTGTTTCAGCTCTATTATTCAATCAGATGGAGTTATTTATCACCCCTATTGCATTTTAAAAATTATATGTGGACAAAAATTAAGAAAAATTATAAGAGATATGAAACATTTTACTAATCTTTCTGGTTTTCACGGGTACCTAACCTGCCATATTGTTGCGCTAACCTTCCATTACAGGTTACCAAAGACAATTAAACTACAAGCACCAGGATGGCTCCTACAGCACTTTTGGGGAAAAAGCTGGCAGGAATCATGGGAATACCTGGTAAGGGGAAGCCAATTTCTTGAACTCTCATTTTGAACCAGCTCTTTACATGCAGTACCCCTAGTTATGTCAATAGCAACTCTACCAAGACACATGTTTTTAGAACTAAATATTAGATGAATGTCCCAATATTAGCGAGTTAACAAGCAGAGAATCTTATATTAAAATATACGTGTGTTAAATGTGTCCCCAAAAGCTATTCTGGTCATGTTATACCAACATGTTCTTTTCTAAAATAACTCCCTTAACCAAGAATTTTAAAGGGAGTTTAGTGAGCACATCATATAACTTCTAGACAAGCCATCAGGTTATATTCTCTTTCTTGGGTCACACTTACCTTCAAAGAGGATGAATTAATTTAGACATGAAAGAATGAAGGATGGAATGATGCAAAATCTTACTTTTGTATTCCTAAGTAAAAGTAAATTTCAAGTTACCTCATAGAATAGTTGGACACTGGAGAAAATTGTCATCTACATATAGTAAGGAACCCCTCAAGCGGAGGGCCAAGAACCATCCCATGCTCTTTTGTTTTCAGATTGTATAAATCCTTTGCCTTAGTTCTCAAAGAACTAACAAAAACAAGTGTCAGAAATATGTAGATTCTTTATTATGACTAAAGCAAATTCTAGGTCTAACGTACTTCTCTGGGAGACTAAAGGAGGGGACATCTCTAGTGCACACTGATCCCTGTTAGGTGCTTCTTCAGCGTAAGGAAATGAAGCGTGAAGCATGTTGACATGAAGTGGTTCTGAAGCCATTGTAACAGCATATATAGAATCACTTTCACCTCACTCAGGCTCACAGCCTTTGTACTGAAGAGTTTTGCTCAAGCTCAAAAATACATCTTCATCCATGAAGCACACATCACCCAAGCCCTCATCTGGCTCTCCCAGCAGCAGCAGGACAACGGCTGTTTCAGGAGCTCCGGGTACCTGTTCAACAATGCCATGAAGGTCAGTGATTTCAGGGCTCGTTTTTAATTATCCATTATGAGAACTTCAAGGACACGAGTTATGAGTAGAAATTACTGACAGATCCATCAAAGAACAATAGGATCTGGATATCACCAAGAAAGAGAGGCTAGAGTTTGTACTGACTGTGAGGTAATCCCTGGAAGAAGGATATTTAAAAAATAAAAATAAAAAAAGGTAAGTTCCACAACACAGCAGAATATGAATAGCTAGTTAATGGAATTCTCAGAACTCCTCAGATCTCTTCCTCCTGCCCATTTACAGGGAGGAGTCGAAAATGAAGTCATCTTGTCTGCCTATATCACCATGGCTCTCCTGGAGATGTCTCTCCCCTTTTCGGTAGGTGCTTCCTCATTCCCTGTCAAAAGATGGTTCTGGATGAAAAAACAAAAACAAAAAAAACCCTGTCCTGTTCTCCGAGACTGGGGTTTCCCTATGTGTCAGCTTTCCTTCTGTGTGGTGCAAATGCCTTCCAGATCCATTTGTTCTATCACGGTAGAAAAGTTTACATTTTCTGAGGGAGGCATCTATGTTATTTCTCTCCTGTGACCATCGTCGCTCTCCAAAGAATCTTAAAGATGTGGCTAATACCAGATTAGTGGTCAGTAGTAGATCACTTACTTTTCTACTTTTTGAGATTTTCATACATGGATCCAATGACATACCATCGTATCTACCCCTCCCTATTTCCTTCCTCCAACTCCCTGCCATTTCCTCAAATCACCCCTTCCCAACTTCAGGCCTTTCTTGAAAAAGATGACCCATTATGTCCAGTTAGTGCTGACCATATGTTCGTTGGTGTGGGGGCCATCTACTGAAACACTGGGCTCTGACCAGTGACTGCACTCTTGAAATTAAAAAAAAAAAATCCTCTCTCCCTCCAGAAACTACTGAGTGACAAGAGAGCCTCAGTAGGGGGATGGAACATCTAGGCCAGAATTTTGGCTGGCTTGATCAAGTGTCTTGTGCAGGTAGACCTAGCTACTGCAAGCTCATGAGTGTGTTAGCCACGCCGTATTCAGAAGGTAACACGTCACAACACTTCTCCCCTATCCTGTGGCTTTTATATTCTTCCTGCCTCTTCTGTGATGTTTCCTGGGTCTTGGTTAGGAGCTGTTTCTTCTATGCATAAGAATAAGTTGGAAATCCAGTTAGACCAGCACCATTTGTTGAAGATGCTGTGTTTTTTCCACTGTATGGTTTTGGCTTTGTCAAAAATCAAGTATCCGTAGGTGTGTGGGTTTATTTCTGGGTCTTCAATTTGATTCCACTGATCCATCATTCTGTTTCTGTTCCAGTACCATGTGGTTTTTATTACTATTGCTCTGTAGTACAGCTTGAGGTCAGTGATGGAGATACCTCCAGATGATCAGTTCATGTATATAACCTAGAACCCCTGCTCAGATGTAACCCATGGCAGCTCAGTATACAAGTAGGTTCCTTAGTAAGGGGAACAGGGACTGTCTCTGACATGAACTCATTGGCTAGCTCTTTGACTGCCTCCCTTGGATGGGGGAACAGCCTTGCCAGGCCACAGAGGAGGACAATGCACAAGTTTGGATGAGACTGGATAAGCTAGGGTCAGATGGAAGGGAAGGAAGACCTCCTGTATCCATGGACTTGGAGAGGGGCATAGGAGGAGATGAGGGATGGAGGATGAGATTGGGAGGAGAGGAGGGAGGGGGCTACAGCTGGGATTCAAAGTCAAGAAACTGTAATTAATATAAAAAATAAAAATTAAAAGAAGAATGAATTAGAGAAACATCTTTATCTCTGGTGCTATGTTCTACTCTGTGTGCTCACCTGGGAACGTCAGTAACGCCTTTGTTCACATAGCTGTTTCCTTTCCGCTCCCCTTCACAGCACCCTGTTGTTCGTAATGCCCTCTTTTGCCTGGACACAGCCTGGAAGTCAACAAGGAAAGAAGCCCATGGCGGCCATGTTTACACTAAGGCACTATTGGCCTATGCTTTTGCCCTTGCTGGTGACGAAGACACGAAAAAAGAGATACTGAAATCACTTGACGAGGAAGCTGTGAAAAGAGGTAAGAACACATCTGAGGTCCTTCTGCCAGCATCCTGTGCATAAAAGTAAGTAAGTAGATAAATAAATAATTCAGAGCTTTCCTAGCCCGCCTTTTGTGATCCCTGTCCTTTCTGCTACCACCACCTATCATCCAGCTCTCTAGATATCTATCTGTTCTGGCAAGCCACCCAGTAAGTGGTGGTTCTGTTCCTTCATCTGAAAACAAGGATAATGTTTGCCCCATGGCGTTGTCCCCTTGAATGAATAATAAATGTAAACATTTAGTGGAGTCTGTGGCATGTGGTCAGTGTTACAAAAGGCCTAGCTGTCATTCCTTCTAAGATGTCAGTTCCTAGTCTATCCCCGACCCTTACGTGGTGACCTCATGAAAAAGTTTGGGTGTTTCATTTCATTACACAAATCGGTCAGGTTGACCAATCTCTTTATTTTCTAATACTATTTTTGCATATATCACAGTCTATATGACAACTTAAAGAAATAGAAAATACAATGCACATCTCTAATAAAGTAGACCTTATGTCTTTTTTGATAGTGTCATTAAATGTTCCCAATATAATGAGAAATATTTTACATGATGCAAAAGGCGTAAAGGATAATTAGAAAATACCTGAGCAACTCATTCCTAATATAAGAAATAAAGAATTCACAATGCATAAAAAAATCCAATGTTTTATTTATACCTTCAGAAGTTAACATTATCTTAAATTCATTATCACAATTTTATTTATATGTATATATGCAGTATATACCTATACATTTGTTGTGTATGTCTCCATAAATATTTTTAATTTTATAAAGTTTCCACCTTTACATATGTAGTATCATACCTATTGGTACTTCAACTTTTTTTCCTTCTGATTTTTAGGTTTAAGACTATGCAAATAAGTCTCCCTAGCAGTGTCTGTAACTTTGCTTTACTAATTTTCATGCTCTGTTTTTATTTCTGAGACAAAGTCTTTCCAGGTAGCCTAAGTTAGCTTTAAACTCACAGTTCCTCTGCCCCTGCCTCAGCCTCCCAACTCCTGGAATGACAGATATGTACCACTACATCAGCCTTCCTGTCGCTTGCTGACACCTCGGTTCCACAGTGGATGCCCAGGTGCCTGTCTCTCTGTGCACGTGCCAGCTTCTCCAAGTAACACTGCTAAAAGTGTAATGACTCACTATAGTCCAGACACTTCTTTTCTGAATATTGCCAAATTGCTTCCAAAGAGAAATTGATTCTCCATGCAGCCCTTGTCAGTTCCATTCCTTAAGAGCCATGTCAGCTTCGGGTATTTTAAAGACAACAGTGTTGTTTACAATCTAATGAGTATAAACTTTTATTATCTTAGTGCTCTGTGATATTCAGGGGAGAGTCCTCTGTGAAGTAAAGGCTTTACAAGATATTTCATACATGCTAGTTAAGCTCTAGATGACCTCAGAAGCAGAGAATACCCAGAACCAATAAGACAACTTTCTCCCACCATACAACTGGAATAACCATCTTAAGTCATAAGTGGTGAGAGAGCCTGTGGTTCTTCCAACACTACCTGCCTAGACTGGATTGAAATGTCGAATTTACATTTATACCAAAGGGAATGCATTTCTTTAAGATTTGAAAGATTGCATTTAAAGAACAGTCCTCACGTTAGCTCTGCCTTGGCTACTTTCGAACAATTAAATAGAAATACTTAGTCACTCATAAATATCTTTTTTCTCACCCCCAGACAATTCCATCCACTGGGCCAGACCTCAGAAACATGTAGTACCAGTGGGCCTTTGGTACCAACCACGGGCCCCCTCTGCCGAGGTAGAGATGACTGCTTACGTGCTCCTCGCTTATCTTACTGGCACGTCAGCTCCAACCCAAGAGGACCTGACCACTGCGATGCTCATTGTGAAGTGGCTCACAAAGCAGCAGAATTCCCATGGCGGCTTCTCCTCCACTCAGGTCAGTGGTTGACTGGAACCATTTACTTCGTCTTTAGGTAGTGAAAGATTTACCAACTAAAAACACACAGGAGAATAAAATGACCAAGATGACTTGAAGGATTATTAATATACAGAGGATAACAGAAAGAAATTCAAAGACAGCTATAAAAAAATTCTTAAATTTCGGCACCCCATCTCATTTCTAAATTATCGTGCTCTCCTGGTTTCAGTAACAAATCTGTGTGCCTACAGCAGTATGAGGGCACCAGAAGAAGGAAGGAAAATTTACCTACCATTCTTCTTGAAAGCTAAGACTCTTTTTTGAACTATTAATAGAAACCCTAACTCAACGTTCTTTACTTGCAAATGTGTCCATTTGTAGGTCTGTGTTTAAACTGAATGCTTTTGATGGTTCCCAGATTCTTCTTCATACACAAGAATATGCTTATTAGGATATCCTTACTCATCCTACCTCTCAACCTCAACTGTATACTCATGTGTCTAAACAATTCATAAGCCTGTGCCCAGAAAGAAACTTTATTTTCAGAGAAAGTAGACGTTAGCATACATCTTCTGTAAGAGAAAAAAAAGGATATGGAGAAATGCAATCTTTTCCTTTCCTATTGTGTTAAAAATAAGATTATTTTTCCACATGAATGAAAACAATTAATGATTTTATTAAAATCCGTTTTTGTTTATTTTTTAGAAATCTAGTATTTAAATACGCCCTCCCAGTGAAGTGTCAATGGCATTGAGAACACGTCATAGCAAAGGGGAGGTGAGCGAGGGCGTTATTTTGATGAAAAGGGAGAGCCCCCTTTGCTTCCTTTGGAGAATCTGAAGCCTGACTCCGAGCCTGATAACAAAAAGCCTTGGCTTCTCATCAGCAGAGGAGAGTTTAATTTAGGACAAGGAGCCAGACCAAGCTGGGAAAAAGCAGATAAGGTAGTCAAAAGGGACCAACTAAGTAAGTAGCTGATGCCAATAAAGTATTCCATTCCCATCTGCACACATTTCCTTCCCCTGTTTCTCTGGGAGAGGTTGAGATCAATTTGCTGATGTACTTGTAGGAACATACAACCCAAGGCATGTATATGATGTTGTCCACCTGAAGCTATAAAGTTCCAGCTTTAAAGCTTAAATAGCTCAATGAGGAAAGCACAAAAATAGGAAACCTGAAACCCTGTGACTGCTAACAGAACTTTGGAAAGCAAGAGTTCTCATGCCTGTGTTAGTGCCCTTTTCATTCCTTAACAAAATATCTGAGAGTAATTCTACAAAGCAAGTAGGCTAGTTTAGCTTACAGGTTTTGATACCAAAAGTCTAGAGAGCTCTGGTGTGGGCTGCTTTGCCTGCTGGCTTTCTCACCTTACGGTGGATTGGCAGTGGAAAGAACACACGTGGGAAGATGGTATCCGATTTTTAAAGCAGGGAGCCAGAGATCTGTGCAGGGCTGGGGTTGGTCTTTTTTATGACGGTACTCACAAGGGCTCCCTGGGATTCCCAACAGAACGTAGTCCCTTCCCGGCACCCCGCTGCCAACCTCTGTGTAAGTTCCTTTCCTGTTGCTGTGATAATACACTACAGCCAAGGCCACTTAGAGAAGGAATCGTTTATTCTGCTTGTGGTTTCAGAGGTTTGAGGGTCTGTCATGGTAGGAAAATGTGGCAGTAAGGCACAGACACGACGGCAGGACCTAGACACTAAGAGCTCAAGTTTTGAACCTGAAGCAAGGAACAGAGAACAGAGTGGCAATAGCACAAGGCTTTTTACTCTCAGAACCAACACTTGGTGGCATGCTTTCCTCCACCTGAAATTCCCCAGACAGTGCCACCAAAAGGGGAATGGACAAGTGTTCAACTATATAGGCCTACGTGGGACATTTCTTTTCTTTTTTAATTAATTAATTAATTAATTCAATTTATATCTTGGTCATAGGCCTTTCCCTTCTCTCCTCCCAGTCTCACCTTCCCTCCCGCATCCCCTGTCCCCTGTTCTATAGGGGAAATCCCCGACACCCCAGCTTATCTATTCACATGAGGACTGGGTTCTTCTTTCTCCCCTGGCCTGGTAGGGAAGTCCCATCAGGGGGAAGTGATCAAAAAGCAAGCAACATAGTCCATGTCAGACATATCTCCCACTCCACTAACTAATGGGCCCACATGAACCCTAAGGTGACCATTGGGCTTATCTTCTTGGGATTTGCATGTGAGACATTTTCACTGAAACCAGAACAACCTCCTACTAGCTTTGCTCCTTTTCTGATGGTGCCACTGTGGGGATTAAGCTTCTGACTTGGGGGCAACAGAGATCACTTCCGAGTGCAGCAACCCCTGAGTGAATTCTTTCCTTCTTCTTTCAGGACACAGTCGCAGCTCTCCATGCTTTGTCTAAATATGGAGCAGCTACTTTCACAAGATCTAGGAAAACTGCACAGGTGACCGTCTACTCTTCAGATGTGTTTTCTACAAGATTCCAAGTGGACAATAGCAACCAGTTATTGCTGCAGAGGGCCACATTGCCGATTGTGCCCGGGGATTACACTGCACAGGTGATAGGAGAAGGATGTGTCTACCTCCAGGTGAGACTCAGGTAGAGGATGAGGGTCCCGGGCATTGCGCTCTCCCTGTAATGTCACAATTCAAGAGTTAGAGACTCGAGGGAGATGAGGGGAATCTTGAAGAAAGGAGAAAAACACGCTCCTGTCTTTGATGTTCCACAGACCTCTGTGAACTTCAATGTTCTCCCGAGACAGAAGGAGTTCTCATTTGCCCTAGTGCTGCAGACCCTTCCCCAGACTTGTGAGGATCAAAAAGCTCACACCAGCTTCGAGATCTCACTTAATATCCGGTAACAGCCATTTTCTTTTTTTAAAAATTTTTTATTTTTTATATTAATTACAGTTTATTCAGTTTGTATCCCAGCTGTGACTGCTTCCCCATCCCCTCCCAATCCCACTCTCCCTTCCTCTTGTTCTCCTATGCCCCTCCCCCAGTCCCGTGATAGGGGAGGTCCTTCTCCCTTTCCTTCTGATCCTAGCTATCAGGTCTCATCAGGACTGGCTTCATTGTCTTCCTCTGTGGACTGGTAAGGATGTTCCCTCCTCAGGTGGAGGTGATCAAAGAGCCAGCCCATGAGTTCATGACAGAGACAGTCTCTGTTCCTATTATTGGGGAGCCCTCTTGGACACTGAGCTGCTATGGGCTACATCTATGCAGGGGTTGTAGGTTATCTCTATGCATGGTCCTTGTTTGGAGTATTAGTCTCAGAAAAAACCCCTGGGCCCAGATTTCTTGGTTCTGTTGCTCTCCTTGTGCAGCTCCTGTTCCCTCCAGGTCTTTCTATCTCCCCCTTCTCTCATAAGATTCCCTGCACTCTGCCCAAAGTTTGGCTATGAGTCTTAGCATATGTTTTGATACACTGTTGGATAGAGTCTCCTGCCTATGATAGGAGTCTCCTGCTGTGATAACCTGTTTCGTGTTTTCTCTCTCTTCTAATGTCCATCTTGTTTGTATTTCTGAATGACCCTATGTCTTACAGAGGGCTAATATCCAGAATATATAAAGAACTTAAGAAGTTAAAAAGCAACAAATTAAAAAAAAGCAACAAATCAAGTAACCCAATTAAAAAATGGGGTACATGTGTCTTTCTAAGTGAGGATTTATCATCTTACCCCAAGTCCTCTTTCTTGTTTATCTTCTTTAGGTGTACAGATTTTAGTATGTTTATCCTATCTTATAGGTCTAGTACCCACTTATAAGTGAGTATATGTAACGTGTGTGTCTTTCTGCTTCTGGGATATCTCACTCAGGATGATCTTTTCTAGATCCTACTACTTGCCTACAAATATCATGATTTCCTTGTTTTTAATTGCTGAGTAGTATTCTATTGTGTAAAAGTACCACAATTTCTGTATCCATTCATCCATTGATGGACATCTGGATTGTTTCCAGGTTCTGGCTTGCCCCGACCAGTGGGACTTCAATGGGTTTCTAAGGAGGGGTGAAATGAATGAAGTGGGACAAGAGACACAAGGAATGAAGACCAAGACAGTCTGTCTGATCAAGGTCTTGTTTATTTGAAAAATTTCACACAACTTTATATGGAGAAGGCAGGAAGGGAAAATGCGTCAGCAAAGTATTTTATGATACAAGAGATAGCAGGGTGGTTTATGATGCAAAATACCGCAAGAATGTTTGCTAAAAGAAATACCACAAGAATGTTAGCTAAGATATCTCAAGATGCTCTAGCCTCATGAGCAGATGTCTCATAAGTTCCTAGAACATAAATCTCTCACCCATGACTTTGTTGCAGCTGTCAGTAACTTTCCACTAGCTTCCTTTGGCTCCCAGCACTGGCTATTACAAATAAAGCTGCTACAAACATGGTTGAGCAAATGTCCTTGTGGATGGACATTGGAAGTAGGAGAAAACAAGTAACAGAGCAGGAGCCTACCACAGAGGGCCTCTGAAAGACTCTACCTAGCAGTGTATCAAAGTAGATGCTGAGACTCATAACCAAACCTTCGGCAGAGTACAGGAAATCATATGAAAGAAGGGGGAGTTAGTATGACCTGGAGAGAACAGGAGCTCCACAAGGACCAAATATATCAGGGTACAGGGGTCTTTTATGAGACTGTTTCTCCAACCAAGGACTATGTATAGATATAACCTAGAACTCCTGCTCGGATGTAGCCCATGGTAGCTCAGTATCCAAGTGGTTTCCCTAGTAAGGGGAAGAGGGACTATTTCTGACATAAACTCAATGGCTGGCTCTTTGACCTCCCCCAAACCACCACTGAGGGAGGAACAGCCTTGCTAGGCCACAGAAGAGGGCATTGCAGCTATTTCTGAAGATACCTGATAAGCTAGGGTCAGATGGAAGGGGAGGAGGACCTCCCCTATCAGTGGACTTGGAAAGTGGCAGGGAGGAGATGAGGGAGAGAGGGTGATATTGGGAGGGAATGAAGGAGGGTACTCCAGATGGGATACAAAGTAAATAACCTGTGATTAATATAAAAAAATTATAAAAAAATACAAAAATGGTGTACAAAGCTAAACAGAGAATTCTTAATAGAGGAACATCAAATGACAGAGAAACACTTAAGGAAATGCTTAAGGAAAGTCATCAGGGAAATGCAAATCAAAACGACCCTGAGATTCCACCTTACATCCATCAGAACGGCTAAAATAAAAAAACTCAATTGACAACATATGCTGGAGAGAATGTGGAGAAAGAGGAACCCTCCTCCATTGCTGGTGGGAATGTAAACTTGTACAATCACTTTGGAAATCAATCTGGCACTTTCTCAGACAGTTAGGAATAGTGCTTCCTCAAGACCCAGCTATACCACTCCTACGCATATATCCAAAAGATGCTCAAGTACACTAGGACATTTGCTCAACCATGTTCATAGCAGCTTTATTTGTAATAGCCAGAAGCTGGAAACAACCCAGATGTCCCTCAGTTGAGGAATGGAGCCATTTTCATCATTTGTAGCGAAACAACCCATCCTCTTGCTGGAACTTCTCACTAAGTAAAGCTGTTGGATAGCAAATAGTTAGATCTGTTTTTAAAACTAAGGTATTCTTTTACATTGGTAAAACGGAGTTTCTTGGCAATGGAGCTTATGATGCCTGTCTTCTCTACCTTCAGAAGTTAATCCCCTGAAATAATTACTAACTCTTGATAGTAAATGAATGAATAGCGTCATTCTTTGTCTATTACTTGACTTCCTTCTGTATAATAAAATATTTTAGTAATCTAGGTCTTTACAAAAAAAATGTTGGCGGACTTAAAAGGAAGTAGCTGAGCTTCCATGGACAATTCTATTGTTCATAAGTAAGTCTAGTTACACATAGCTTAGTCTGTTTGTAAAACAGCATACATGTACATAGCAATAGTCAAGTGCCCACAGGACTTACGAAAATGGACCCCCAAAGCCCCCTGTGACTTGAATACTGCTATACTTAGGAAACTATGGAGAGAAAGCATGAATAAGAGAAAACTCACACAGATGAGAGGTCTTGAGGTCATGTCACCTACCAAACTTCCTGAAAACACAGACCTGAGTCCACAGGCTTGACGTTCTAGTTCTAGATCAGGTCTTTGTGGGTTTATTAAGTCCTATACAAATTCTACTACATGGGCAGTGTTCCATTACCCTTAGAAAGTCTTACGAGTATGTGGCAGAACCATGGAGTGTACAACATAGAGACATGGAAAAGGAATGTTTACTAATTCAGGAGAACCTAACTTTTCCTTCCCTGGATCTTCAGTTACACTGGCAGCCGTTCCAACTCCAACATGGCAATTGCTGATGTGAAGATGGTGTCTGGCTTCGTTCCCTTGACACCGACAGTGAAGATGGTATGTTTTCTATAAGCCCCAAATCGCATATCTCATATTATATGGTATGCATCCCCAGACCAAGATAATAGTTATTAAAATACTCCTACCTTTAGTCTTAAAGACTTAGGCCTTCTCCAAATGAAGTGTGTTTGTGCTTGTGTCTGTAGCATTGTTTAGACATCATGGCTACTGGGGAAACTTATAAACAGTTTTTTTCTCTTTGTTTACTTATGTTAATTAAAATATAGTTACATCATTTCCCCCTTCCCTTTCTTTCCTTCAACCTCTCCCACGTTCTCCTTTTACTCTCTCTCAAATCTATGCCCTCTTTTTCTTTATTATTGTTATGTGTATGTGAGTGTACATACATATGTATATGTATACATATATAAACACATAAATATGTAAATAGAACTTGCTAAGTCCATGTTGCTTGTGTGTATGTAATTTCAGAGTTGGCTATCAGCAATGGATAACCAGTTACGGGCCCTTCCCAGGGAAAGACCCACTGTCTTTTTTCAACATTTTTCTAATCGCATGGATCTTAGAATCTTAAGAAGATAAAGTGCACAAATACTAACCAGTGAGCTAATATGGAAATGACTGATGTCATAAACTTCTATAACACAGCAAAAATGAGATGGTTTTAAGTTAGAGAAAACAGACATGAAGGAGAAAGCCTCCTTTATGAACAAAGATAATGTAATTTGAACCTTGAGTAAGGAATAATTTCTGAATCCCCGTTTCTTCATACAAATCAGCTTCACATGTGTGTTCATATGCCACACTAATAGGGGGCCCTTGGTCCAAATTGCCTTTCGTTTTCACTCTTACTTTTTTACTTATGAGGGAACTTGAAGAGATTCCACCTTCAGGGTATTTTGATGATAAAATAATCTCATTTTCCCTGGATTCTCCAGGGACTCCATCTGTTAACGTTTGCGCTGTCTCCGTTTTCTTCAGCTTGAACAGTCTGTGCATGTGAGCCGGACAGAAGTCAGCAATAACCGTGTCTTGATTTACTTGGATAAGGTGAGAGCCCTGGTTAGGTGAGAAACACATAGATAATAGTCCTCCAGGGACTGTCTTGGTGTTTTAGAGTCATCGCCTCCATGCTAGAGACATGTGAATTCTAATGCCACAGTGGTTGCCCTCTCTTTGGAGATATTTCACTCAGCCTGTGAGTAGAAATGCCATAATATCCAGTTTTTATTCTGTCAACCAGTTAGCTTGAAGGTACTGAATAACTCAGGGAAGTGGTTATTGCGATTAGTCAATCATTATACCATCGTCTTCATCAATAGTATAAAAGGAGAAAATACCATCCCTCTCAGCCAGCGCGTGGACCACGTAATAGTAATAGCAGTCCACACATGGACCAATAATTGAAAAGACAGGTGCCGTAGCAGAGTTAGTTATTCAGACCGCTAGTAATAGGATTTTCAGTTGACAAAGCAGCAGTGGTTTGTCTTTTATACGCTTCTGTCAGGCTGCATCTGTGCTTTTACAAGAGGTAAAGGCAAAGACAAAACTCTGCTAAACCTCTGAAATCAAAAAGAAGATATAATAGTCAAACAGAAAGCAGAGAGAGAGAGAGAGAGAGAGAGAGAGAGAGAGGTACATACACACTCATGAACAGAATCATGTGCTAGCAGTGATGAGGTGACGGTTCTCAACCTGTGGGTCATGACCCCCTTGGGGTCACATATCAGATATCCAGCATATCAGATATTTACATTGTGACCTATAACTGTAGCAAAAGTACAGTTACGAAGTAGCAACAAAATAATTTTATGGTTGGGGAGATCACCACAACAGGAGGATCTGTATTGAAGAGTCGCGGCCTTAGGAAGGTCGAGAACCGCTGAACTAAGGCCTAGGTAGTGGTGATTTCATGGTAGTTATTTAAGAAGTAATTGTGGCAATTTCCCATTTACTCTGGGTTCTTTCTCCACCATGTGCTGTAATGTTAGCAGATCAAGCTCCCGCCCCTGCACAGGACCCCAATTAATTTCAAGGTGAAAAAGAAAGCTTCCGGGAAAGTCATTTCGTTCCTTTTGACTTCCAGGTGTCAAATCAGATGCTGGCCTTGTCCTTCACAGTTCAGCAAGATATTCCAATAAAAGACCTGAGGCCAGCCATAGTGAAAGTCTATGATTACTATGAGAAAGGTGAGTGTGAGCAGCCTGAACACAGACCTTCAACTCCTGATACAGAGACTTAGACTTAGGAACGGCTTCCCGTTACTCCGGATTATCCCCGTCAGGTTTGACACTTTGGACCTCCTCACTTCTATGGAAGAGAGCACATTTTAAATTTATCAACCAGCAAAACGAAATAGCTGCAGAGTTAACTTTTTGTCAGCTATGCCAGTTGTAGGACACCATGAGATTTAAGGACAGACAACAACCGACTGTCAGGAACCTAGGGTAAAAGAAAATGTGGCTTATTGTACCCGGAAGGATACCCAAAGCGGTCAGCAGTGCATCAGGGGAATGTCACGGGCATTACTAACGCAATCCCAGATGCCCGTAGTGACATCAAGTGACGCCGTTTGTTTCTGTTTCCTCTTTTACTTAGATGAGTTTGCAGTCGCTGAGTACAGTGCTCCCTGCAGCACAGGTACGTAGCTCACGTTCCTTTAAAGGATAACCACAGTTCCTCTGGCTTGCCTCCCAAATTTCTTCCTCCATAACGTTCTAGGTAAATATTCCTCTTAGTAGTCATTTTGCTTATATTGCATCTTACTATAAAAAAAAAAATGTGTGCGTGGGAGAAGTGCGATGCCTCTCCGACCCTCAGCTTGTTTGCTGCACTGCATGTTGGGTAATCACCTGTAGTGGGTCTCCTTTCCTCCTGTACTCGTTGGACACCATGCTGTTCAGACCTAGAGGCAAGGATATCATTTGTTCCTGGAAACCCACGCCTGTCTTCATTTCCTTTTCTTTCTGCTACCGCAGGTTATGGAAATGCCTGAGGACATTGTGAATAAAAAATGTTTTACTAGAGCTCTGTTCTTACAACTTCATAAGAGAAACAATGTTTTTGTACTTCCAGAGATTTGATAAATAAATGATTTTTTATCAAATCACCAGTCACCATTCTTTCATTAATCCAGTCATCATTTTTTTTTTCCATTTTCATGCTTCTGTATGTAACGCTCAATGAAAACTGATAAAAATCAGGGATGGAAGGAATTCAGAATACCAAAAAAATGATACAGCGGTATTGATTTAAACAGGCTTTGTGGAATGAGGATGAATCAAAAGGTATTGGATCATAGCTAGGAAAAGCAAAGCATGTTTGGTTATAGGGATGCCTTAAGGAAGAGGCAAATAGTGTATTTTTATAAGCTAATAAAGGACTGGCTTGAGCAGAAATGTAAAGTTGGATATGTTTTATTGGAAAATAGCTTTACTGCTATTTTCTGGGTTTCTGTGTTCCTGGAAAGGATAAAATCTTCCAAGGAATAGTAAGAGGGACCCATCGACCAACCTTGACTCTCAGATCCCAGAGCGGACTGCAGTCTAAAGTTTTGATACATGTAGATGCAAGTATTCTCAGAATGAAGACTACATGACTAAAGCCCAAAAAGGAGATGCTGGAGCACCGGCATCTCCAGGATCTTCGAGTCAGGACAAAAGGATGGAAACAAAGTCAAGGCCGTGTTAGACACAGAACCTAGAACTCTCATAATACACAGTCTCTTATATCCCACTCTTTCCCGTCCTCACTTTATTCTTCTTGTACTCAGAATTTACATCAGTCATTATGTACAAGGATATAGGGACACTCCCAGAGATTCATAGGGAAAGAGCAGAAATTAAGGCAGAAGAATTCAGAGGCAAGGCACTCGGAAGGCCATCCTGGCCACCTTAGCCTTAATTTGCCACGAAGAAAAAGAAGTATTTACTTTGGCAGAAGGTAAATCGAGGTAGTATAAACTGACACCATAAAGGCTTTTGAAATTTGATCAATCCTTAGTCTCTTTTTTCTGCGTGAATATAAAAAAGGCAATCATGTTTTGCGATAGATCATCCTGTAAGCACCTCACAGCTCTAGTCTCTTTTCTGCTTGTCTGTGTGGGACCCAGAATTGAAAATGTTCTCAGAGAATGCTTACGGCAGCTCATTTGCTGACACACTTAGTCTAAGAAGGTTCGTTCCTGAAACTGTTTGCCTCTTCTCTTGAAAGCACAGGATTATTTGATAGCCTATAAAACTGAATGAAAAAAAAATGATTCAGTAAACAAAGCTGTCTATGTTTCTCAAAGCCAGACTCAGACAAATAGCACACAGAGGAATGTGTGGAGCCGTAAAATGGCTGCTTGACTCTTGCCTGCTTGGAATCCATGAGGCACATTGTGCCAAGCATGGCACAGTGATTTTTCACCCCTGGACCGCAGGTGTTCTTTGTTTGTTAGAGGTTTGCTCAACCATTTAGATTTGGCAGGTATAGCATGAGAATTCTCCTCTTGCTTTGAGAACTTCCTTGAGAATGTCCTCCTTTGTGATTTTCACTGAAACTAGTTCCTTCCCCCCGAATTGCCCATTCTTACCCCTTATAAGCAATAAACGAGACTTGATCAGAATACTCTCTTGTCTCCATTTCTTGCGTCTCTTGTCCCACCCCATTCTCACCCCCTCTCTTAGGGTCTCATTCGACTGACCTGCAGGACAGGTCAGAGGAGGAGGGGGTCTTCTCTTTCTTCTATGCCCATGATTTGTCCTGAAATTCTGTCTTCCATTTAATTTATTTTATGAGGCTTAATAAGAGGATTTTTTTATTTGACTTTTCAGTTATACATATCTAAAATTTAGATTTTACTACTTTCAGTATTTCTGCCTCTTAATTGCACTCCTCAATTATATACTATATTGTCATCCTTATTTTCAATCTGTTATTGAAGGGAGACCACCAGCCTCGGGCCAGCCGTGTCTTATGGCAAGAACTTGGAGGAAGAGAAAGAGGGAGGGAGGATGAGTGAGCAAAAAAGAAAATAGCTTGCAGCCAGTCTCAGGGCATGAAAGCAATGAGTCAGAATGGGGCAGAGACCAAAAGGGGAACATGCCATGAACACTGGGGTCATCAGTGGACTGATCTACATATAAACAGGCATTCTGGGGCTCACGTAACACACAGATGCTGGGAAAATTCTCCCTTCTCTGTCTTCAACCACACAGCTGCAGGAAACCGTTTTGAAGAAGTCCCTGCTCCGTGATAGCACTACATTTCTAGAGTTAAAGGCCCCTCCTCATTCCCTGTGCTGCTCACTCTGGGGACTTAGGGCATAGATAAGGCTTTGAACTTCTGGCCAAAAGAGTAACAACACTGCAGAATGGGAAACTGTAAATAATTATATTGTTAATAACTATATTCAACATTGAATAAATAGGTTCAATAAGCATATTCTTACTTTTATTAATATGTTTATCCTTTGACAATTTCATACATGTATAGAATGTTTCTGATCCCATCCACTTAAAACTCCCCTTTCTCACTCTTCTTTCCATCTTCACCCAACCTTCAAGTTCTCTTAATTTTTATGGCTCACTGAGTCCAATTAATGGCTATGTGCACTTAGATATGGAATCATCTACATGAACAGAGGCGGTCTACATCAGATTTCTACCTGAGCAGTGGTTGCATTCCCAACGAAGAATGACTCCTCATTCCTAGCAGCTATCAACTACTCATTTAGAGGAGAGCCTCATAATCCTCTCCCACCCATGCTGGAATGTTACCTAGCTTGAACTTTTGAAGTTCTTGTGTAGGTAACCACAATCTCTGGGAGTTCATGAGTGCAGTGGACATGCCATGTCCAGAAGACAGTATTTCTCAGTGCTTCTCTTCAAAACCTAGCTCTTATATTTTCTTTTCCCTTTTACTACCCTCTTCCAGGATGTTTCTCAAGCCTCGAAGGTAGGAACTATTAGTGACCAACTTCAGGGCTAAGCACTCATTAGTCACTTACTCTATACACATTGCCCAGTTATGAGTATCTTGCAATCACCACTGATTACTTTGGGAGGAGAAGAAAAAGAGAAAGAAGAAGAAGAAGAAAGAAGAAGAAGAAGAAGAAGCTGCTTCTCCAGCAACAATTTACAGCAGCAACAATATATGAGTATAAACATTAATATTTAGAAGATAGTTTGACAACATGTCCATCAAAAACAAAACAAAACAAAACAAAAATAAAAACTGTAGTAGGTTCTCCTCTAGGGCCCATGATCTTGCCAGCTACATACTTTTGACTAGTTTGTAGCACCAAACATAAGTTCCTGCCTGTGTAGCAGTTCCTAATTGCAGCCAGGAAGTAGTTGTTAACCCCCATTATACTCATGCCATAATTGCACCAGTGGTTACATCACACCTGGAAGGTCAATATAATAGGATGCATGGTCCACAACTGGGTAAGACCATTGATCACTTCCTCCTGCAGAGCCCCACATAGCACCTTCTGGCACTATGAAAGGCAACCATGCGCCATGCTGCTGCTCTACGGGCAATCAACAAATTCTGGGAGAAGAGGGAAGCATGGTGTCTAGACCTGTACGTCAGGTTTTGATAATTACTTCTAAACCCAGAACCACACAAGCAGTTCTGATTAAACTCTGTGAGACAGAATGGGGGGGGACCTAATAATAAAGGGAAGAGGTTTATAGGGAGAGGGACCATTTGGGGCGGAAAGGAACTGAGAGAGGGACCAAAATACAGAGTGTGCACATGTAAAACTGTGAAAGGACAAATTTTATTAGTAAAAAAAAAAAACTATATACAAAAATCAATCACTATTAAAGTGTCACTCACTATGAACACAGATTGAGAGTCAAATAACAGTCACCATTTAAACTCTAGTCATATTAGAGAGTATACGAACACAGATAATATGTGAAGTGAATTAAGACAGTTGTCATGCGCATGCTTGGAAAGACAAAAGATTAATGATTATTATTGGAATGATAAAAGGGGAAATATAGAAGAGAAACATAAATAGAAAAGAGGAACACATGGGGTATATAAAAAGATAACATAAAGAGAGTTAAGAAAGGCAATAAAAATTGTAAAATTAGCTCCAGGTCTCAGGAGGCATTAACTGCCAGTATTCCCCCAACCTCCCACCAATCCTATCACATGTTCCATTATTTCCCCTTATGATAAATATTTTTTTAATTTGGGTTGCAAGATTGTAGGTTTTCATATAGCTTTCAAACAGTCTTCATTTCGATTAACTCTGGCATGTACAACACAGTGGTAGATGTTACAGTTTGTACCTGAAATGCCTCTCAAATTCCGTGATTCCACATGCTCAAGGTTTGGCCACTGGCCTGTGATGCGAATGAAAGCTGATGGAACTTTCGGGAGGTGGGACCTAATGGAAGGTAGCCTTGAATGGTGCTGCTACTTGTTTAAGAGAACCCATGTTAGGGGAGATGTCACATGTACAGGACAGGCTGCTGACCTCTCTGTTATGTCAGCGAGAGACCACATCAGATTCCAGGCCTTTCAGCCACAAACCCCATCTTCATGGCTACATGTACTTTGCAAAGAAGTTTCTATGCAGTCACACCTTAAGCTTTATTGGGCCCTCGGAAATGGAATGATTATTGTTTGAAAAGCCAGAATGGTGAATGATTGTTGCCTGGAAACTTGTCCCCAAGTTGTACTGTGTTTAAATATGCTGGCTGTAAACCACCTGGCATCAGGCTCCTGAAGTTTGATCCACCCTGATGAAGTCAAGCTGTGTTCCAGCCCAAGTAGTGCCAGACAAACCACTCAGACACGGATCTCGGCTAGATATTGATGATTTATTAGAACACCTTTTCCAAGCTGATAGGTCAGGGCCACAGTAAGGACTAGGGAACCTAACTGTGATATCTACCTTCTTTCAGGGCAGTCTTTTATTGACCAACCCGATAAAAGGCATGGGGAAGGCAGTAACACATTTTGGCTGCCTATTCAAAGCAATATTACATTTTTGGCTGACTAGACAAAGTATTATCAGCAAACCTAGGTGAGGGTCCTCCAAAGTGCAACTCAAATGCAACCAAG